AGTACCAACTCCAGCAGGCCCTGAAGGTTAAACATAGATTTTGAAACACTTCCCCACTCCAAAGTTTTGTACTCCTGAGCTAAACAACTTTATAGCAGGTGATTGGAAGGATTCTTGACTTACAACAGCTCATTTAGTGATTGTTTGACATTATAATGACACTGAAATAAGTGACTTCTGACCATTTTTCACACTTATGGCCATTGCAGCATCCCCATGGCCACATGAACAAAATTTGGATGCTTGATAACTGGTTTATATTTATGACCGTTGCAATGTTCTGGGGTTCTGTGATCATATTTTGTGACCTTCTGACAAGCAAAGTCAGTGGGGAAGCCAGATTCATTTAACAACCATGTTATTAATTTAACAACTGGAGTGGTTCACTTAATAAATGTGACAAGAAAAGTTGTAAAATGGGGCAAAACTCACTTAACAAATTTCTCACTTAGCTACATAAATTCTGGGCTCCATTGTGGTCGTAAGTTGAGGACTGCCTGAATTAGCAGCCTGTATTTTCACTGAGAATTCTCCAGAGGTCAATATTCTCAGCCTATGCACTGAACTGTACCCCTCTTTGAGCATCTGTTCTTGATTTTCAGGTGATGTGTTTGAAGTATCTGGTAATTAAAAATCTTTGTCTATGTTGTAACTAACTTGCACTTCTTGTGCAGAGAAGAAACAGAGAATGTGCTTTGCAGAGGTTAGGCTGTTCTTATTATTCAGTACAATGTTCTCAAGAAGATCCAGACATCTAAAGATCTACACCTGTGATAATTTTTAAAACAGTAGCTTCTTCATTGTAGTCTACTATTACTTTTTAGGTTCATCAACATAATTCTGATTTTAAAGTTTAATCAGATTTCATTAAAACAATTTCATTTTAGGTAGGCTGTGAATATTGATTTCATGGGTTAATTATCATAGTCAGATAATATGCAACCGTAGAAAATAAAACTACATTGTGTTCCAAGTATTGACTGAATTATAGAACCTGTCTGTAATTTTTAATGACTTCATCATGTTAGAATTCCCTAAGCAAATATTTTCACTTCTTCAGTGCCCCAATTTCTAACCCCATAATGCTGTGAGCTAAATCATGAACAGAAGAAGTGAGAACAGGTATACCCAGTTTGATTTAAGAACAATTCAGACTGTAAAACTGGCCTTTAGCTGTTGCATTTGATTAACTCATCAGTATCATAGATCTGTGGCCTGTGGCAAACAGTGATATTTAATTATTTCCTACTTACTATATATGATTCCTTTTGGGGAGCAGATATGAATTCCATCTCCTGGACGGAAGCAAATATTTTTTTACAGGGGGCAGTTTGAACTGAACCAGTTTGCAGGAACATCTTCAATAAAATTATTCAACTATACTAAGTATGCATTATTTTGGCAGCCACTAAAGATCACTGCTGTGCTTCAGAAAGTTATAATTCTCATAAAACTAGAAGATGGCCAGATCCTAAAAGGTAGATGCTGTAAATTATGGTGTGATAGGGAGAAAAAAAATCACTGCACATTCTCTGACACAGGACCATTTATTATAATTTCATTGCTAAAATGAGGTAGGAGAAGTTTTGTAAACTCTATCTACGTTGTGACGCAGGAAGGAGGTTACTGTATGTCTGCAACTATTTTGAAAATTGTTTTGCTACTTGGGGGGGGGAATTCTGCATTGTTATGTTAGGCATTTACAACGTACTACTGTAACTAATCTTAACTAAGATTAGGATACCAACATTCTGATGAAATAGCAGGTTGAGCATCAAGAGTATCCTGGAAATATTTTCACAAGCATTTTTGGGTAGGGCAATAAACTGGGTTTTTTCCCCCAAGCACTATACAAAGATGATTCCTTACCTTTGAACATACTTAATCTACTTTTAGAATTTTAATAGAGCTGATTTTTTTGATAAGCAAATAATCTATTTCTGAACAGGAAAAGGCACAAGTCCTCACTATTACCCATTCTTTCCTGCCTGATCATGCAGAATCTTCAGTAGGTTTTGGGAAAGGAGGGAAGGCTTCTCGTTTGACCCTCCCACTCAGTATTAAATTCCTACACTTACATAGACTCTGCTTCCATACAAAGCAACTATCTTGTGACTCAATCATTTGTTGAATGAAGAGAAGAGCAGCTGCTGCTTTTCTGGATAATGGATGTATCCAACCTGCCAGATCTTGGCCCTCAGATGTCTGAAATGTGCTAACTTTAGCTGGTATAATGTCAGGGTAATCCTATACAGGTCTATCTAGAACTATTTCTTATTGAATTAACTGGCTTACTCACAACTAAATGTTAAGTACTTGCATTCATGTAGAGAGAATGAGACAAGGTTTCTTATGCACACTGATCTGTTTGTATTGGATTGTTGCCAAGGGCCTGGACTACTGCAGACCAGAAACATAGCATTTGAAATGTACATATTCTTTCAGTGGCATATATGAAAGGCATCAGAAAGGTCAAGAAAGGGGCTATGGCCTCTGCATCAAAGCCTTACCCTGTTCAGCATTGGCACATGCACCAAAAATGCAAGGTTTTAATAATATTGTCATAACTACCGTCTTGACTTTTTTGACTCCCCCACACCACTATATAGATTACTTCTGCTTTGCTTACTGCTATGTTCACCCTTTGTTAATGAACTAGAATGACTACATAACAGTAAATATATTCCAGTTCGAGCTCAATTCTTGATGACCACATGGATTCATCCCCAAAGTTTTTAAAGTAAACATGTGGAAGGAATTTGCTCTTGACTTCCCAGACTAGGTTATAATTCTGCATTTTATTCATGGTCTCCTACCCAAATGTTAACCCAGTTTAGTTTTGAGATCAGCGAGGTATTTCTGGAATATGTGGTGTTCCAAAATATTGGGTGGGTGAGTGGTGGGAAGAGAATTATTTGTTTGATTTGAGCTTCTGTGTAGCATTAGAAAAATACCTGTGGAAAGAAGGTGTTTGTGAGCCACCTACTCGAGCTTCTACATTCCAGCATGATATGCCCAACAGCAGCTTTTTAACTGCACTCTCATTTCAGAGGGACTGCCTCCCCTCTCCTGTCATTCCCACCCAACACACTTTAAGCCCTCAGGCTTTCTGTTTGGTTCATGACAGCTGCAAAGGTTGTCACAGAAAGCCAGCAAGTTCATCTACCACTCTGCTGACCCTGGCCACTTTCCAGCACCAAAGACAGATGGAAAGGATGAAAGATTAAAATAAAGACAAGTTGAAGTGATATGATTTCAGAGTGTAACAGATCGAAGATCAAATTGGATGCACCACATCTCTTTGCCTTTGCATTGACTCAGTTGTGTACCTAGAATATTGAAAGACAGTTCATTGCCCACCCACAAATGTTTGTGAAAATATTTTCAGGATAATGGACTCATGGTGGTGATGCCCAACCTGCTATTTCAACAGAATGTTGGTATTCTAATCTTAGTTAATTTCATTTAAAGATGAATCCAAGTTATATGTGTTAGTTTGGGTGCTGGTGGGGTGGAGGGGTGTTGAATATTAAAGCTGACATTGATGTCCCGTGTGCATCCAACTAATTGTGTGAAACTCTGCCTGCCTCTAATGCATAACACACATACTGAACTGGAATTATTCTGACTCAATGGGGATGGTAAATGTAAATATTCTGTAGCTTAGGCTCAACTAATGTCCATGAGAATGTCACCAAAAACAAGTAGCTGGGTGGGGTAGTTTGTAGTTTGTGGTAGGACAAATCCATAGCTAATATAACTTAATCTTTAGTAAATGATACTCATTGATATTTTATCTCCAGTTTTTCCCATCAAACAAACTGGGAGAAAAATCACCTAGCCAAAAGAAGTGAGAAATTATGTATAACATCTGAGAGATCAACAATTGCCTTGCCTTAAATTTGTGTGCCACCCTCAACATTTTAGCCATAGTTTTAGATGTTGGTCAATTTAACTTCTGCAAATACTGCATTCACGTAAGTGGGAATTGCTTTTCATCTGAGTAAAGCAGAAAGCTTTCTCTGTTGCTTTGGATGCAGAAAAGGTGAAGAGTTAGTGGAACAGTTTGCCTCCATCACTGGAGGGTTTTAAGAAGAGATTGGACAAGCTATTTGTCTGAAAAGGTATAGGATCTTCTGCTTAAGTAGTGGGTTAGACTAGAAGACCTTCAAAGTCCCTTTCAAATCTGTCATTCTGAAGAGTCTCAGAGTGACAGTGCAGTGGCATTTCCTCTCGCATTGTCTATGGTGCTTTGTAAAATGTTGGGTTATGTATGGTTTAAAGAAACAAATCCAGAGACTAATGATATTTTATACAATCATATGGGGGGGGGGAGATAATAACAGGAAATGCACTTTTGGAATGGGCTATTAGTATTTTTGCAGATGTGAAATATTGTTCTTTAAAAACAATTTGGCCTTTCTTTGAAGCTATCACTTTACAAGGGTTAAACCTGGGAATAATGAAGGTAAAGGTTATTAATGAATAACGATATGCAGACAGTGCTTATTTATTGCATCTCTGAATGTTTACATGGAGCCCAATTTCATTTCTACTCATCTTTGATTTTCTATTCCCCACAAGGACTGTTAGATAAATTCATCATATTGCTGCCGTCTTCCTTTCTTAGCCTTTGCCCTTTGGAAACGAGAGAGAGAGACTTACTTTATTCTCTAGAAATTTATCCCCAGTAACGTTCTTTCCTGCATTTGCTTTTCCCCTTCCTATCATGATTCCTTCCCTTGCCCTCTTATTGCCCAGTGACCCAGAAGGGAAGAGTTGCCTGGGCCCTTGAAGAGCTATTTAACCTGTTTTCATCAAGGGGTCTCTTTGGCCATAGAATGACTCTTCGGTGGTTTCTTTTCCTTTAACAGGCTTAGCTTTCCTCCATTGTGCCTGATCACTGGGCAGAAATGCAGAAATTATTATCAAACCATCCCTTCTGACTGAGGCATATGTTTCCACCCCCCCTTCTTTTCTTCTCTCTCCTTTGATGGTAGATCTGGAGGAAAACTTGCACAGAGTGATGGGGAGTGCTGGCCAAGGTGTGGCTGCTTTGCCTCATAGTCGAGTCACCCTTCAGGATCCTGTACTCTTTTCTGGCCTGGAGAAGCTACCTCTTGTTCAAGCTCCTGACAGCCCAAGCTGGCGGTCCCTTGACAGCCCAAGCCCCCCTGCTACACCTGAGCAAACCCTTCCCACCTACTGCCTGCAGTACTTTAATATGCTCTACCCAGATGACAGCAATTGGGTCCCAAAGAGTTTGGGTGAAACTCAACAACACAACAATCAAGGGAGCAGGACGGAAGTGCATAAGGAACCTGAGCAGTGTCCTATCATTGACAGTCAAGGATTGAGCCTTACCTCTGAGATGGATTATCAGGCCAGTCTTCACCTTGAGGAGCACTCCTTGGAACAGGTGCAGACAATGGTGGTGGGTGAAGTGCTCAAGGACATTGAAACAGCTTGTAAGCTGCTCAACATTGCCGCAGGTGAGTACCACAGGCCTGTTCTTCTTTTATTTTGCACAGTTTAGCCCCCAAAATAAAAAAAAAATGTGTATGTAGAGGCATAATCATGCATTGCAAAATTAGTAAGGCTGTTGTGGTCATTTGCCAACAACTGGCAATATTCTTTGCCTATCGCTGGTGGGTTTCAAACTCCTTTCAGACTACCATGTTGTTTGCTTTCCAGCAAAAACAATCAAACGTTTTGTGGCACCTTAAAGACTAACCATTTCGTTATTGTATAAGATACTATGACTCACAAAACACCTCTGAGGGAGTGAACAAGTTAACATATGGTAATAAATTCATTAGGCTATTAGAAGAGTCTTTATTAACGTGCCTTATATCCTGACATTAGGAATATAAGCCCCAGTTTAAGTGGAGTTGATGTGTGTAAGGATCAAATAAACTTTCAACCTTATTTATTTACTTGTGATACAATAATGTATAACATCATTGTAGGCAGGTTATCAAAGCTCAAGTATTCTTTCATGACAGTGGAAATAAAAAGATTTGACATAGTTGGAGCAAAGAAACAAGCGGGGAAATGGAGAGAGAATGGCTTTCCCCTGGTATATATATATATATTGGCTGTTGCATTATAAAAAGACACTGGGTTTTTCATTTAGGTATGATTTGCATATAGCAGAAATCACTGTTAGACTTCTCAAACAGTATCAATACTGTTTTAGGAGAAATGGCAGAGCTCTGATTAGAAAAGGCAAAACCTGGCTGGGTGTTAGGACCAGGAAGTGGAAAAATATTAAAATGCAACATGGGGTTTGCATTCTTTATTTGGATAAGTCTTAGAAATTTTAAACCAGCCTTCCTCGGTTGAGGCTTTTTTCAGGCATCATCCCTTTATAATTCATCATTAGCCCTGCTGCCAGGAGCTACAGCAAAAGCAGTTAACATTTGGATGAACTGAGTCAAATTATGGAAGGCTGCAATAAACCAGCTTTGGAACTGTCTAGATAGCGCTGGACCCAATGTCTTGACCCTAAATCATGATGGCTGTGAATAATAGAAATTGAAGGCCAGAACTATCTAGAGGAGAATACAGCCCTGTCATAAACCATGCCATGAATTTATAAAACAATGCTTCAGCTTTGTTTACTTTGTTCATCATTTCCAGATACCAAATGCTCCATTCACATATATGCATTTGGATGCATCCATGTGTACTTAATGAGCATCCAACTACTGTGCTAGGCTCACTGACTGAGATTAGGCATGGCTAGTGAAATGTCTTATTTTAGAACACATCATTACCAAATAAAATAGTACACCAACCCTTCAATACTGGAATATGAGGATGAGGGACCATTGCAGATTGGGATGCCTCTCTATTTCAGGATAAAGGGGACAAGGAACATTTTACCTGATGATTGCCTAAATTGATTACTGACCAGTCTGATACTGATCAGCTTTTGGATCATGCAGTATGTTGCAGTCTTCATAAAGGTCACAATGGAGGGGTAAAGTTAGTATAAACAAAGAAGAAATAGCATCGGCAAGAGTGCTGGGTGGTGCTTTGATCTAATGATCTACTCTGAATTAAAGATTTCATTTTGAAAGCTAAGTAGGTTTCTGCCTAGATTTTAGATTGATCAATTTAATGGTACCGTATCCAAACTTGAGGAACTCTCAAGAGTTGGTCATCTGAGATAGTGACAGGAAGGTTTTCATTTAGGTTGAGGTTTCCAAATTTTGCATACTAAAGGAGGCCTGTGCCCTTTTTAATTCAATCAATATAGAGGAAATTACAGATCATGAACTTCAGTTGCAATAAAGATGGATAGCATAGCATATCAGGCTTCTCTTCTAGTTCTTCTAGCTGCAGTGGGTTTTTTTTTGCTAGGCAAATGTTCCCAGTACACTGTAGGCAGGATCTAAATGCTGCCAACACAAATATAAAAGCAAACTGTCGATACAAAAGCCAACCTGCTTGTTTTACCTCTTCAATTACTAGAACATTTCTGAAAACAAGAAAAAAAAAAGACTAATATGGTAGCTATCATCAGCCTTTATCAGCCACGGTCTGTCCATGTCAATGTAGGATACTGATATCAGACCTACTGCCATATCCAATGTGTCATATTCTATAGGAGATTGTTTGGATGTCATTGACCGTTGTTGTTTGGCAGTTCCAAAGATAGCTTTATTACTGCCTAATATTTCAGAGATAAATACTGCTTTAAAACCTTAGCAGAAAACATTGATATGATAACTGTATGTTGGCTGATGTATCAGAACTATGAAAATATCAAAAAGTGGAGATGTTTACAATGCTAGTCAACTGGAATATTTTCTTAGAACATTTGCTCTGAAGATGAATTATGAATGAAGTAATGTGCACACTCTCTAGAATATATATTTTTGGCGTATTTTTGTAGACCCTGCAGACTGGAGTCCAGGAAATGTCCAGAAGTGGATCTTATGGACAGAACATCAATACCGATTGCCCCAGATTGGAAAATCATTCCAAGACTTGTCTGGGAAGGAGCTGTGTGACATGACTGAAGAAGGATTCCGTCAACGTTCTCCATCATGTGGTGATGTTTTACATGCTCATCTGGACATTTGGAAGTCAGGTACTTAGTAAGAGAATTGAGAAACAAATGATGAACAAATTCATCAAAAGCTATTTCGGTAGTAGACTCAATAGAGGCATTTTTCTCCTATACTGTTGGTACTTCCAAACTACTGCTGGAAAACAAGGCTCTCTAAATAATCCATGCTAATGATTTTGCTTGTGCTTTTGGCTTCATGCTGTTTTTTTGGGATATTGTCCCAGGGTACAGCCTCATGCTTTAGCAGATCTTTGGATTGGAACAGTTTGGTGCTAATCAGTTTGAGGTAGAATGGTGAGTGTGCTAGAGAGCAAGGTTTTGGCCTTTGCATCCCTTCCAGTTATATGAGCTATTGGATTTCTTTAAGCACTGTTGAAGGGACCTCAAGAATGGGAAAAAGTGGGGAAATTCAGCCTGTCAGAATCCATTAGATTAACTTTTCATGTTATGCTTGCTTTCCAGCTGCCTGGATGAAAGAAAAAACTGCTCCCGGGGAGCTGCATTACTGTGGTGAGCTAACTGTTGCTAACAATAAAAATAAAATAGATTATCTATTATTCTAATAATAAAAATACTTTAGTGATAGAGAAATGTCAAAAAGCTAAGAAGCTATAGGGATGCAGAAAAAAGGTATTCAAGAATCCAAAAGTTGCTTTATTACAAGCACATGTTATAATATTGATTATGATAATGATTTATCATTTGTTGCTCGTATGTACACTGAGAGCTTATGTACTAGAGACTAATTCCTTGTGGTGTCCAATCACACTTGGCCAATAAAGAATTCTATTCTATATGATTTCAATCCCTGCAGTAGAAGCAGCTGCCTTCTAGTTCTGCTTATTGTCTGGCTACTGTTAGATCAAAAGATGAAAATGTACAGTCCTTTTAAGACAAGATAGTTATTGACTAAAATATGTACCTTTAATATATGGGTTTTACATTATTATATATATTATTTTACAGTATAGCAGAAAGAGAGATAGAGAGATAAAGAGAGAGAGAAATGAGAGAGAGAGAGAGAAAGAGGAGGGAGGGAGAGAAAGGGAACATGTACCATGTTCTGAATGAATGGGGAAATGTAATTTTCTCCTCAATCAGAGCTAGCATTCCTTTGGAATTTATAGAATGAAAGAAGATAACAGAGCAATTAAATAATTCAACAACAATCACTTAAACAAATGTCACAAAAATAAAATTAGAAATTTGCAAGGCTAAATGCTTGCTGAAAAAAGGAAATTTATGGGGACTGGTGCAAAACTGTCCAAAAAAAAAAAAAAAAGCATGATGGTGTACCTCCCACATGAAGGTTTACTGTAGTCCAGATATAAGAATAAGGAGATTTTCTTTTGAATCTTGGATATAGAAAAATCTGATATTTTTAGGTGGGACACAAAGAAGAATATTTCCAATGTGGTTCAATTAGTGTGATGATCATATGATGAAAAGGAAGACTTTTAGGTGGTTTCATTCTAGACCAACTAGAATATTACAGTTGTTGATTGGCTTAGAAATAAGTAGGGCATTAATACTAATGTTGCAAATGCTTATATAAATATATTGTAATCTGAAGGTTAAACATGTTCCTGATAACTGATTTCTCTTGGAACGGCAGCTGCTTGGTTCATACGAGCAACTGAGGATTCCAGAATTTTTCAAGAATAGCTCTATGCAATATGCATTACACTACTCGAGTCTACTTTCTCTAGCAATAGCAGAGGTTAAGCTAGGTGACGCTGCCATTGTTCCTGTCTAAAGTAACTTGCTTTTTCTAATAAAAAGTACATTGCTTTCTAAAAATTACGTTGTTTGGATGGATGTTTCCTTACTATAGGCAATGAAGAGAACTGGACAGACAGTGAGGTAGATTCATCCTGCTCAGGCCAGCCCATTCACCTATGGCAGTTTTTGAAAGAGCTTCTGCTGAAGCCTCATAACTATGGCCGCTTCATTCGTTGGCTCAATAAGGAAAAAGGTCAGTGATATTGATTTAATACTGAAAATGGGAGGCAAATTCTTTATTTGGATAGTCTAAGACTCCACAGCTTGGAAAGTCCTTTTCTAAAGGCCTTCTGAAATACAGAAACTTCATGCATTCCCCAGGGGCAAAACAAAATTGGGGGTGGGAGGAATTTCATGTGTGAGATTGGTGTCTTCAGTGTGTCAGAAAATCCATTTTACCCTTTCGGCCACCTCCACACTTCCAAAAGGCCCCCAAAAGCTTGACATTGTTAGCCTCTCCCACTCAGGGAATTCTGGGGGGAAAAAAACCTCTTTATGGGCTTAGGCTGTACTTGTTCCAGCTCTCTTTTTGAGATATTAAGAGCTCTGGTTAGTTTGCAGTACATCTTACCAAAAGTGGAAAAGAGGGAGAGAAAAACATAGAACACCAAGGGCAAACTTAAGGGAAAAACTAGAAGGAGAGAAATAGAGTGCTCAGAAGTGTGCATCAGAGCTCCCAAATAGACAATTTATTCAGGCTGCTCTCAATTGTGAAGGACCAGTGCTACTCTCAATATGTATAATAGCAATGGGATGGGTCTGATGCTTGTCAGGATTCATATGTGTTTTACTGATCAGTTTTAATTTAGATTTTGATTTGAATTATATGAACTTTGCTATGATTTATACACTGCATTTTCTAATGTGTTAGCTGATTTGAGCATTGGAATAAATAATAAGCAAAGCTATACATCCAATAATAAATAACATTAAAAATATAGTGCTTTTGGTTTTGCTTCTCCAAATATATTTTTTGTTTGCTTTTTTGTGGTTCCTTGCAAACATTTCTTCCCCTTTTTATTATCTTTTCTGTTAATAATTCCTCTGATTCAAAGTATAATAGCGCTAAGATGGTAGAGAGGGTGTGGCCAACATAAATGGATTTCTTGTTTCTCATATTTACTGTCTAGGTATATTTAAGATTGAAGATTCTGCCCAGGTGGCTCGGCTATGGGGAATCCGGAAGAACCGGCCTGCCATGAACTACGACAAGCTGAGCCGCTCAATTCGGCAGTATTATAAGAAAGGGATCATAAGGAAACCAGATATCTCACAAAGGCTGGTCTACCAATTTGTACACCCTGTCTGAAAAGCAGAGCAAAGAGAACAAATTCAGAATAACTGACTTCTTTCTGGGATGGAGGACTTCTGGAAACAACATCCTTTATCCTCTGCAATGTTGATGGAGCTAAAAGCAACTATTGACGAAGACCATTGGATTTGGCTGGTGAACTGTAGAGATTCCTGTGTACCCTAATTGTGTCTGGGAAACAGGAAACAAATAAAGGTTTACTGTTTAAGTAAAATGGCAAAAAGGAAATGAACTAGGCCATTCAGATTTCATTCTAGGCTTTGCGGTTTTGTAGGGTTTTTTTTTCACTTGAAAAGAAAAGAAAATAATCTAAATATTTCCAGCTGCATGGTATGGGAATTCAAAGAAGGTAGGAATTTGATGGAAAAGGAAAGAGAATACTGATGCTATAGAGTCTGTTACCTCTTTTCCATTCTAATAATTATAAGACTATTTGAGATCAAAGGAGCAATGTAACATTGTGTGCAACTTTGTAAATTAACAGTGGGCAATTATTGTGTAGCAATCTTCTGACCTAGCTTAAAATTCCTATGCTCTCTAATTTTCCTTTTCTTTCTGTGTAACAAGCAGAAATCTCAACAGTCCGTTTCTCTGACAACAACAAGCTTGGGGGCTATCCTTCCAATGATTTTCTAGTCTGCTTTTTTCCTCCTGTTCTTAGCACAACAACCAGGCTTTTGATATTTCAAGATTGATGTTGGAGAAAACCTAAGAATCACGATTTGGAATTCAGAATAATGGTGTGTCAATAGTTTAGAATCAGGCTGGCCCAGTGTATTGCATTTATGTTTGTTAGGGGAATGCAAAATTGTAGTTTAATTCAAAGGAGTAGGCCAGAAAGTCTGTCCAGGTTTGATATTAAAGAACTTGATTAGTTTTCCATATATGCAGTGAATGAAAGTAGTTACTGTTTCAGGTATTGTTAACAGAAGGACAGAGTCACCCATTCTCAGTGTGTGAACAAACCTTTCTTGAGGGGAAAGACAATAGGACTGTGCAAAGCAGCTCCTTGCCGGAGCTCAGGCTGACCCAAAACAAGAACAATTTGCCACCTGCCTGCCTGAGGAGGCCAACTAGCTGAGCATCTGGGAAACACTGAAGAAAGCACACGGTCCCCCACCCCCCAAGGCTGCCTGAACACGGTCCTGGCAATGATACAGCTTGTTCTGGTGTATGGACTGCACCTGGATGCCTGTGCCAGAGTATGATAATAATCCCAAATCAGATAAATTCTATTGGAGACACTTCCTGAAATTATGCTGATAGTACAGCAGATACATTGAGAATTACTAATTATGGCCCAACCATGTGCCTTTATGAAATCAGCGAAGACAAATTTTGGCTGATGATCAAAAGTAAAGTCATTGTGACTGTCATTTTATATGGTAAGTCTTACAATGCCATTGAAAATTAAGAGAGAAATGTATACAAGTAGAAGTTGTCTGGGCTACCAAAATTAAGAGACTGGGTGCTAAATCATGTGAAACTGACACAATATTTAGAGCAGTGGTGGGTTGCTACCGGTTTGACCCGGATTGGGCAAACCGGTAGCAGCGGCGGTGGGAGGCTCCGCCCACCTGCCTGTGCGCTTCTGCACAAGCACAGAAACGCCACGGACACGCCCAAGCACACACACACGCATGAGTGAACCGGTAGCAAACTAAATTGAAACCCACTACTGATATAGAGATAAAGGAATTATGATCAAAACTTCAAGGAAACTTCTACCTTTACTCATATCTGCTTTCAGAAAAAGTTGACATACTATTTTCTTTTTTAAAAAATGTCACTTCACCTAAGAATCTCATGCTCCCATAATACTAGCACATTGATTATGGCATACATAAAGTTATTAAACATTGAAGCTCCTTAAGACTTCAGTATTTGACTTAAGGTAAGATCAATTCTCCATGCTGAATTTAATTCCTGCCAACTTCATGGACATGTCTGTACATTTTTATTGGAAACAATTTAGAAGAGATTTGCCTTAGATGGTGATGACGACGACAACAACAACAATGGAATGGAAAAAGACAATCTAGCTTACAGCTCCAGCGTTTCCTGGTGATCTCTTATGCAAGTATTAATCAGGTCTTACTTACTAAGTATCTTGTAACCTTTCTTACATTTTCAAAATTAGCCAATATTGGCTAGGTGCTGCCACCAAGAGGAATATCCACTTCATGCACAGCATATAAAATTTTAGATTTGTTGAGCATGTTGTTGCAGGGTATAAGTATGTAGAATGAGCAATATTTTTAACATTATTAAATTGAAGTGAATATTCTTTGGAATTAAAATAAGTCCTTTCTTAAGTTGTCAGATCAGACATTATTTAATGTTATATGACCTCCAGTGACTCTAGGTAATTACAAATAAAAGCATTAAAAAAAAGAGAAAAAGCAACAAAGGGCAAAAATGAAGAGTAAAGGTAGCAAGGCTGACAAAAAGATGGACTGAATTGAAAAGATGCACACACACACACACACACACACACACACACTCCAAAGGGGAACTTTACTTACGCTTGCCAAAGGCCTGAGTGAAGAGGCAAGTCTCCAACCCCTTTTGAGACACCAGCAGGGTGAGAGCCATCTGGATTTCCTCAGACAGATGGCATTGTTTAATTGATGGAACCTGGAGGGTGCCAACCCTGCCAGATTGAATTTGTTGGGTAGATACTATGGGAGATAGGCAGCCCCTCAAGTTACCAGGTCTTTTGCCTTTATAGGTAATGACCAACATTTTAAACTGAACCCAGAAAGCAAACTGGCAATCACTGTATGTTGCAAAGCTAAGGTGTTACAAGGCACCCCCTTCTATATCACTGCATTCTGGACCAGCTATAGCTTTCAGGTGATAGTAAAGGGTAGCTTGTAGAGCAGGGGTCCCCAACTCCCAGCCTGCAGCTCACTACCGGCCTTGAACCCTTGGGAACAGAGCCGTGGAAGTGGTGGGTGAGCACACACATGCACACAGCTCCATTTACACAAGCGGAAGGCACCTGGGTCCACTGCTTGCATAAATGGATCTGCGCATATGTACTCACCCACTCCTACGGCTTAATTCTGAAGGGTAGTGGGCTGCAGCCCAGGGGTTGGGGACCCTTGATCTAGACCCATTCAAGTCTAGTTTCAGGCCATGATTCAGTACTGAGATGTAACTATGTAGGTCTACTGAAAAATAAGCCTGAGTAGATTTGGTTTTTAAAAAACCCTCCAAGATAAAGAGATTATTGGATTATGTTTCTATACCAGGTTGCTTAACTCTTTCATTAGTGGAAATACTTTGGAAGTTGTCACTTGGATATGATCTTGTCTTAATTTCCCTTCCTCCCCCCCTGCTATTTACTGGAATACCCTACCTATTCAGGTTCTTTATTAAATCAGAAAAAGGTATTAAAATTTAAAGATACTTATGCTTATGTAATTGCAATTTATTAGTGTAACTATAGATAGAGGCAGGCTATGATTGTCCCACAATAATGCCATTTTCTCCAAGTGCTGATTCTGAAGCCCAAAGCAGGTAGGGATGAATTATGGCATGTGAATCCCTGGAGGGTGAATAGAATTTTACACATCCTATTTTTTTTCAGATAATTCTTGATCTGCCTCTTTCAGCACTGGACTAGTTTTTAATAAAAGGAATGCTGACTAAGATTGTAACTGTGAGAATGTACATCAAGTTTGCAATATTCTCTTTAATTTTTCCTACAAGATCAGGATTCAGCACCATGTATATAAACTGTGATTAGAAAAAGGGGCGATCATAAACATAAGTTGCAGAAACAGTTCAGGAATTTAGCAATAGCATTTAGATTTACATACCGCTTCATAGTGCTTTGCAGCCCTTTCTAGGTGATTTACAGTCAGTATATTCACCCCAACAACCCGAGTCCTCATTTTACAGACTTCAGAAGGATGCAAGTCTGAATCAACTTTGAGCCAGTCAGAATTGAATTCTAGACTGTGGATAGAGTTAGCTGCAATATTGTGTTTTTTTACCATTGTGCCACCATGCCTCTTTGATAATCTTTCTTTTCAGTATGAGCTTACACAAAAATCCATATCTGGTTTGTCCTACACTTATTCAAGATCAAGTAGATCTAAAGCTAGTTTATGCCTCCTATACCTGAAATAGTCAGTTGCATTTATGCAACTATTTTTGATCTCTGTCTTCCCATAGAGAGGGCAGGTGGGGAAGACAAGGCACTCTAAATGCTGGGCAACTTCCATTGACCTTGGCTCTTGGACGTATTCATACTTGGCTTAGAGTGAAGGATTGTTGTAAAGTTATTAGTCTATCTTAAATCGGGTCTCAATTTTAGACTTTTTCTTTCTTTTTAATGATAAATACATATTTGGAGGATTGTTTAGACTTCTCTTTGGAAGCAAAATAAAAATACACAAATCCCCTTATAAACTGCAACATACAACCCAAGATCAATCATGCAGCAGTTTGTGAATAATAGGAGACAAATATCTGACAAACAAATTAGCTGCTAGAGAGTGAAATAAACATCAAAACTAACTTAATCTTTTGGCTTTTCTTCTGCTGAAGTAATTAATATTTTATTCATTTATATTCTGTCTTTATCATTTTTATAAATAACTCAAGGTGGCAAACTCACACTATATTTCTTCTTCCTTTCCACCCCACAAAAACGCTGTAGAGTGAGCGAGAGTGACTGGTCCAAAGTTTGATGATGAAAAATGATTGATATTAGTAAGGTTTTCATGGATGCATGTGTGATCTATAGAGACCATGGATGCACTGTATGTCTATGGAGATTCTTAATCATTCAGGTCAAGGTTGTCCCAAAGGTGCTTTTTTGAAAGGAAAATGGACATTCTTTGTTTTTCCTTGAAGACATTTTGCTTCTCATCCAAGAAACTTCAACTTCCAAAGGTAGAAAAGCACCTTTGGGATGCACTGCATAGTTGGAAGTTACTTATCTGGCAATAATGCAACAGAAGAAAACACTTGTAGGGAATAATTGCCATTCTGGAAGATTAGTTCAGACATAATGGCCAAAAGACATTCAGGTACTTTATTATGCTTGAGTTAACCTAGCAGGAAAACCTATGGATGTCTTTCAAACTACTAGTCAACTTGCACTATATTTTCCAGGGTTTTTTTTAATTCATAGGGGCTGAGGCAGCCAGAATACTTGTTTCTAAATTGCAGATGTTTCCAGAATACATGTGTATCCTTTGTCTAGATTTTCTTTAACAATAAGGACTTTGACATTTATAAAGCTTTGGTTGAATATATAGAGGACTAAGAGTTATTACTGGGCTTGTTAATGGAGTACAACTCTTGAAATTGCTTCATTGTAAGAAAATAATGCCATCTCTTGAAATGGGTGTGCATGCATAAATGTAACTATAGAATATTTGTTAATAATGATTTAGACTTGGGTAAATGAAATGAAGAGTCATGGTGACACAGTGGTTAGAATGCAGTATTGCAGGCTAACTCTGCCGACTGCCAGCAGTTAGATTCTGACCGGCTCAAGGTTGACTCAGCCTTCCATCCTTTCGAGATAGGTAAAATGAGGAGCCAGAATGTTGGGGGCAATATGCTGACTTGGTAAATTGCTTAGAGAGGACTGTAAAGCTCTGTGAAGCGATATATAAGTCTATGTGATTGGCACCAAAGGCACTGAGACATGCACCAAATCATTGATTTGCATCCAATTTCTTCAGATGTTTTCAAATAACAATAGCAACCATAAATATAAACTCTTTCCTCCCTTCCCCCCCCAAGTAAAAATGAGTTAGCATACATTTTGCCTGCTTTCTCAAAGTAGAATAACAAGAGGCAGTTGAAGTTTCCTGTAATTTTTAATAGCTACATGAAATTGGGAATTTGGGCAAACATTTTCCTGTATATTAAATGTGGAGTATCCATCTATATATGTAAAAATTCCCACTTCTACACAGTGGAACAAGTATAGGAGCACAATTCTCTGTTGTCTCTTGACAATGACATAATGAAAGTTGATCCTTTCCCAAAAAAGTAACAAGGCAAGACACACTATGCATGAATAAAATAATCCTTTTATTGTCGTTTTTTTTTTAAGTATAGTTTTTGCTCTTTATGGAAGAAGAGGCAGACTGGCATGACACAGAATGTTACTCTCCATCTCCTAATACAGTATTCTCAATCTCAACAACTTTTAAGATGTGTGGATTTCAACTCCCCAGCATTTTGGCTGCAAAATTTGGGGAGTTGAAATGCAAATACTTAAAGTTGCTGAAATTGAGAAACACTGTCCTAATATGTAGCTTTGTTGACAGTAACACGTTCTTCTAACTTGAAGTGCTCCTCTCTAAATCTAGTAGGCTTTAATCAACCAAAACCCACAATCTCTTCTTGGGCCTGGCATTTATCTCATAGACCTGGAGTCACATAGTGAATACATACCACAGATTCCTGTAAACATTTCCATTATGGTAGCCATTATGCATAATACAAGACACTTGTTTTATGAAGGGGTAAAACAAACTTTTCTGGGGGATAATTTGATTTTTTTTCATATAACCTCTGACCTGCAAGAACATTTAAGACTATGGCCAGTAACATGTTGAGGTCACTGAAATGGATGGGACAAATAAATGCAGACTTGGGTAGAGTTGAAAAATTCGGGGGGCGGGGATGGAAACAAATCTTAGTGCATTTTGTCCCTTATTGGGACAAAAAAGGGGAATCACATCACCAAAAATCCACAGTTTAAGCCACAAATGTTAAGTGATGGAAACTGTGTTTCTATTAAGAAATTGCATAATGGTATGGGGGCTGGTGGCAAAAGCTACATGTGCTCTAAGGGTTAGGGTCTTCACCCCAACATAACAACAACCCTGCAAAGGACCTGGATTGACTTGTTACAAGTTTACTAGAAGCTCTCAATCAATCATTGAGCAAGCAGCATATCACAGAAGTGTCTTCAGAAGCCTGCCTCCATATACACACATCCACATAATGTACATACATACATGCTTGTGGTCCTGTACCTTCCCATCTACCTACCATGGACAGTCTAAAAATGAAGAAAAGTACCATTCCAGGAGCAGTATAAGAATATCAACACTCTCCAGTTTATTTTCTGGCCGAGGAAGGTAGATTTTCTTGGGGCATCTTTGATACTTTGGTGGTACAATGGCATTGGCAATGGCATTCTTTCACTGGGATATTTTTTCCTTTGTGTTGCAAGGCTTATGGTAAATTCTGCTTCCTCTCATTTTAATTCTCTTCAACCTGCACCTTTTCTCTTTTTTATCCTACCAAGCATCTGACCCCCAATCCAGTGCATCTATACACAATAACACGATTTGATGCCTAATACCAGACTGGAGTCCACTGAAAATACCCTGAGGAAAACAACAATTGAATTGGTCACAATGTGAACCATGTAAACCAACTGTTCGACACATCTGAGTATCAAGTCTGGACTGGATTTTCGAATTTCAAGATTGAGCAAAAATAATTATAAGAAGAAAATTCCGCATTACTTGGATACAGTCTAGATCCGTGATGGCGAACCTATGGCATGTGTGCCCAAAGTGGCATTTGGTGCCATGTTGCCTGGCATGCGTGGCATTGCCCGTTCCTCTTCTGGGTTTCTGGCGTGCATGCGCATGCGATGATCAGCTAGCCTTTGTGCGTGTGGCAGTGCCAGAAACTGGAAGAGCTGGTCTTCCATTTTCCTGTGTGATCATGTGCGCTGGCCAGCTGATTGTTGTGCACGCATATGCGGCAGAAACCTGGAAAACTAGCTGGCGTGTGCGTGCGTGCTGAAAACCAGAAGTTCCCTTTCGGGGGCGCGCACGCACCCTGGTCAGCTCCTCTTCTGGGTTTCGACCCAGATGAGTGCATGTGTGCTCCCTTTTCAGCACTCAGTGCTGAAAAGGTTTGCCATCACTGGTCTAGATAGTAGGTTTATCCTCATGTTCCCCTTCCCCCAATTGATTCCAGTGGCCTGATCATACCAAATGATAAAGCTCAGCTTGTAAACGTACAGCTACATCAGGAGATGGTAAGAAGACAAACTCAAACAAGAATCAAAATTCATACATTTACATAGATCAGTCATTTTTGTATACACAATAATTATATATACATATATGTATGCATATATATATATATACACACACATGCACATTTACACAGATACTTCTTTACTGTGTGTATGCATACGTACATATATGTATATATATCTATATAACTCTTTTTTCAAATTACACTATCAATGTACGCAAAGCAGGTGTACTGCTGAAAGAACAGCATTCATCAAAAATACCTTAATCTAACAAAATAAAACAAAACAGTTGGAGGTCATTAATATCTTGTTTACATTATCCAGTATGCCACATGGCTTATTCAGGAGCAACACTGGTCATTGGGTCCAGTAATTCAGAAAATAAACCAAGAGGAAGCAGGACAATAGATGTTTATAAAGAAGCAGAGGCTGACGAATAGTATCCAAGGAAAGGCCTAGGGATGGGATACATGAAAAAGGGAACATAAACTAAATACTGTAACATACATTAATCATAGTCTTGTGTATTCTAACAAGGATGAATCTAATCTAAAAGTATTATAGCCTGTAACCAGTCATTGAAAAGTTTTCCTGGAAAATAGAAATATGGAGTGAGGATGTAGATAAGTGAAAGGAAAGATTATACAAAGCAATTAATGTAATAATTAAAAAATATATAAATTTCATTAACCAATGATTGGATAAACCCATCCAGTGCAGGACACAGGTGATATGCACCATTTATATAAGGGGCTGGAGAAAAAGAATGTCTATTTCTCCAATCATGTAAATAAAAAACACTAAAACCTGACAAGATTAGATGCATAAATGCAGTTCAGAATAAATAGCTTTTAAGGAATGCTTTCACATATGATTTTCTAGGATACATAAATATTTTCAAAGCTTACTTCATCAAAGTCAAGATTTGGAATCTTATTAGACCTAACCAGGAGATCAAATGGTCAAAACTGAAATAAGTTTTAACTCAATATTAAAAGAGCCACCTGGGTTTTAAATAACTGTTTCTTAATCCACAAATAGCACCACTCAACAACTCTTTTGTTTCTATTTGGATGAAATGATTTTTAATAGAATTGATATTCTGTTTATCACTATGTGAACAAAAGGATTTAATTCACGGCAAAATCCTTTTTGTATGTATTTTCTTTGAACAGAAATTTTCCCATTCTTAGATTGATACTGCTAACGGTAGATGCATATTCAGTAAGTTTTGGTTCCCCATTTTGTGGGACTAGTTAATTTAGACTAGCATTCATTATGTAATGTTGTCTTTAAGAAGAAGAATTTATCATCATGATATAGAATATGATGAAATTAATTACTTCAAATTAGAGTCATCTAGAATATTCCTTATTGCCTTAGTCCATAACTTCCCTTAGTAGCTGACTTGGAATTGAGAACAATTTTTTTTTTAGCAAGGCATTGGTCCTTCTGCAATAGAAAATCCATTTACAAATATTATTGCAGTAGTGTTAGAATTCCTCATCACAATGTTTTGGTAATTGTATGTTGCTCAACAGAAGGATGAAGTTTGCTTTGTGTTCTATACAAATTTTATTTACTCTTTACTGTACAGTTATAGATTGTCCTGTGATTGAAATTTGAGGTATTGGAAAGGAAGTCTCAGTCTCAGTCTGTCTCAGTCTCAGTCTCTCTTTCTCTCTCTTCATATAAGGAATAATTTTGAATTTAGAGAAATTTAAGCACTTCCACCTTTATCACAGATTGTTTACGGCTGAGTTTTTGCATTTAATTATATAATCGATAGCTATGCACTGATATCTCTACAATCTAAAATTTAGGAATAGGATAATTTAGCAGGTATCTGCTATTCTCAAGCATATTTTCTGAATTACTGAGTGATGCTAGGTAACATTCTAAATTATATTTTTAAAATAGGATATTGTTTAAGACCCCATTGGAAAATTCTTCCAAGCGAGCTTGCCAATATTGCTGGGAATGGGGATGTAGAACCTCATTTTAAAAACATTTTTTTACTAAATTCTACACTTTTCTGCTATTTCTTAGTTTTGGGGTAGCATTCCTTGTTCTAGAACTTTGTTCAAAAGTTATGTACATTTTTAGCTTATAGCATATGTGCACCAAAATCTAACTGGCTTCTTCCCATTACTTTTCAGGCACCTTTGTCTGATACTAATACTGCTATTAGTAGCCCATGCCAGCTTATGAATATCTTCAATGCTTTCATACCTCATTATCAGCTATACTCTTCTTCTATCATGCCTTATATAAGACAGGGGTTCTCCTGCTCCAGATGATGTAAGATATACATTCTCCCATCTCAGTTTAGGGCACTCAGCACTGCTTCTTTCTCCACTGTACTATATCATATGCTTAGCCAATTTCAGTTGCACTGATTCTCACTATGTTACAACCTGCCTAGTAGATAATTAGGGATTTCCCCCCCCCCCCTTCCCAGTTTATCCTCTTAACTCTATTCTTTACCTGTGAGGTTGCTTATCTCAGGTTCCTTCCTTCCTGCCTTTATTTTACACAATTCTTTTGATTCTTGACTAAAAGTAGCTGCTTCTCTAGACTTATTCACCCCATTCTCCAGGATTAAACAAATCACTTCTGTCTATCAGGGTTATGGGCCCAGAGCAGTGAGCAAAAAATATAATGAAAGTCATAGAAGTGTGAGTCATTGTGAGCACCCATAACAAAGACTAGAAAGAAAAGCAGATGACTTCCAGAGTAAGGATACGGATGTTTCAAGCTATGAAAAAACCTGATGAAAATACTTCTCTAGTAGCAAGTGACTGCCTTTATCCTGGATCCTAACCCATGAATGCAGAGTACAATCAAAGACTGCAGGAAGCTGTAAAATGGCAGAGCAGCTGAAATGATTCAGTTGTCAATGAGTGATCCTACTGTTGTTTATCTACAAGATTTAGCTAGAAAACTGATTCAAATATTGAGTTTTATTCATAAATGATAAAAGATCTGTAATTTCAAATGAAGATCTTTTTGCAAGACTCTGCAATAAGCAGCTCAGAGAAGGGTGAGCTATAAATATGCATGTGGATGAGATGTCAGAAATGACCAGACAAGTTTAGAGGCAAAAAATGTGTAGCAAGCTGGAAATGTCAATTATTCTGATCTTAATCTTTCTTCCAGGAAGTGGGAGACTATAGTCTGTGTGAGAGTCATGGCTGATGAGAGGACAGACAGGGCAAATTTTAACTATAATTTATCACCTGCAAGACTCTGAGTGTAAGAAGTAAAGGAAAATAAACTAGTGTTACAATTCAAAGTGTGTTGTATGGCCTGCATTTATTTATTTAGTTAATTATAAGATTTGCATGCTTTTCTGTACAACTGGTTTTGGAGTCCAGTCTGCTCTCATTAAAGTCTATGACACAGGAACAGTGTGAAGTAAAATTTAAAGGCAACTTTTGTGCATGTGTGTGTGTCTCAAAATGGAGAATGATGAAAGGCACCCTCCCAGAAAATGCATTGTTTGAAATAAATAGGCAAAAGCAGCCAAATGATGCAGTGTTTAAACCTATGGCACAGAAGAAAGAGATATAAGAATCCAGATGCTTTTCAGAAATTTCAGTATTTAGCAAAAGGATTGAAAATGCAACCACATGTAGCTCAGTTGAAATGTCCCTGAAAGTAAAATTGATGAGGCAGTTGCTGGAACTGGCCCAGACAATATTTGTAGGTCAATAAAGTAATGATAATAGGCAGAAACAAATACCTATTCATGTTTATAAACAATTTACTTTAGCTTTATAACTAGCTACTTGCTCAGTTTATGAAAAGAATTTAAGGTACGTTTATGTCTCTTTAGAAAGCAACGAATTTGACAAAAAGCTGTTTGTTCTACACACAGATAATGTGAGTGAATACATGGTGGGTAACATAAAAAAGTACTTGAAGAAACAAGGAATTACATGAGATTATTATGTTTTATATGCCAGAACACATGGCATGGCTAAGAGGAAACTTCTCTCTAAGAGAAATGAAGTTCATACTGCAAGATCCCGGACTGGCAAATAATTTCTGCATGGAAGAAGTTACGAATGAAAGATAATGTGTCCCAGGATAATGTTCCAATCTGGGTCAGTCACTGGGACCAAGGATTTTGTCTTCAGAGCTTTCAGACTTGTGCTGGAGCCCATCTTCAAAGAATATCTCTCTATCAGAGTGTGTCTTGACAGGAAGCAGTGGAAGAAGTTACCACTGCCTCCTCTCAAAAACACATTACTAATAAGGCCATAGATATGCCCCATGAACTGTAGCATGGAAAGAAGCCCAAACTAGGGTATATTTGCCAGCCTATTATAATATTAGAGTATTTGGTTTTTAAAGTCTAAACCAATGAATCAAAAATAAAAAGGGCCAAACTCGGTAATAGATATGGTGAAGGCATGTTGCTTGGATACTAGCAATACTGCAGGGATAGAGAATCCTGGATCTCTCCACACAAACATACAGCATGACTTATTTTATTTTTCAGAATACACCTTGAAGAATACTCCTTACAGTAGGATAATCAACCTTAATCCATTTGTTTCAATGGAAGTCTTCACCATGTGCTAATTATTCAATGGCACATCAGATCCAGAAACATAAACTGAATCTTTGCAGCTGCGATGTTCAGAGAGATCCAGCAAAAAAGTTCCACCCTGAAGATTTTCCTACATAACCAAAAAGGAACAGATATAAGAGTCTTGTTCTTGTAAAGACATTGAGTAAGTGTTTGCTAACAAATCTAAACAATGAAAAAACCCTGCAAAAAAAGGAAATGAAAATATTTCAAAAGAATACTTGGGAACTCATTGAATGATCTGCAAGGAAAGAAAATAATGGGATGAAAATGGGTTTTCAAGATCCAATGCAATGCAGAAGTGGATGCCCAGTGCTATAAAGCCAGAAGGCAAAGGGATATATTTAAAAATATGGTGTGAAAAAAATGTAGATCTGCTGTTGGGAAGAGAGCAGGGAACTGCTGCAGGGGGAGAAAGGTTTACTCAATTCTGAGAAAATAACTCAAAATAACCTCATCTTGATTTTGTCTGGCATAAAATATGGTGGAGAGAGATTTTGACAGGATTGCAAGATACTGCTATTTTACTTTACTGCAATAAACAAATCTCAGCTGCTTCTGTTTCTTGACTTTGGTCATTTCAAAAGACTAACAGATGAAGACTATGATAAGACTTTTGCTATAACACTGCAATATAAACACTGCTCAGTATAGCAACAGCTGGGAATATGCAGATGCATCACCTTGATGTAAAGTTTGCACTTCTGCATGGAGAAATCAAGGAAGACATCTATGTTGAGCAGTCATCTGGTTTTGAGGGACCAGGAAAGGAAGACTTGGCAGAACATAAAACAGGTTGTAAATCCTTAAATGGGCAGCTGTTCTTCAAATGTGATGGGCAGTTGTTATTCTGTTGTCCCCAGAAGCAGATATGTATCAGAAGCACAATCATGCCAAGAGACTGAACTATTAAAGGACTTTAGATTATGAGTCAAAGACAATAATAACAACTATAGGTACTGTCAGTTCTTCCTAATGGGGAAGACTGCATTAGAATGAAGCACATAAACATAGAGTATAATATATACAAGATACACAGTAAAAGGGACTAATTGAAATACTGCCCATTAAAAGAGATGTGGCAGATGACCTACAAAGCCTTGCCCAAAGATTGATACAGGTAGATGGAAGTTGTGGCTTGGTGAATGAGTTGGTGAAAAGGGTGTTGGAACAGTGACTTCAACTGCACTGGCTCTGTAAATCTCATGACCTACAATTGCAAGGGGCAATAAAATAGGTAGGAATTTTCTGTGTGCTCTCTGTTTATTCCTTCAACTCTTAGTTTGCGAAACTGCTAATCTCAAATTGCTTTTTGCCTGCTTTTGTCCTCGCGCACATCTGTTCTCTTGATTCTCATTTGATAGGATGTTACCTTGATATCACTTGCATATTTCTCTAATAAAGCCTCTTTGTGTTTAAATTAAAAAGGTGCCTAATTAGACTCATTTTCCACTGCTCAAAAACATATAGGTGTTTCCTTCAACAGTTTTTTTTTTAAAAAAAATACCAATTCACAATCAGTGCATTTCTTTTCCTGGTGCAATATTTGTTTAAGTGTATAAATGGCAATTAGTTTTCATAATTTTGCATCTCCTTTTAAGTCCTGTTCTCAGGCTGGAAATAACAGAATTTTCTGATTAATCTTTGCATTTCAAAAGAGATACATCCACTCATGTCCCTAGATATGCAGTTCAATTCCTCAAAAGAAGGTGAGAGAAAGAAGCCAGTTCTCTTGAGTTTTACTGGGTGTTCCTCAGGTTCAACAACCCCGTCTAAACTCAGAAGAACAAGCCACATATTTTAGTGGCATTGAGGAAATTGGTATGGAACAAATCTTTTAATTCATAACATACCAGACATGCCATATCTTTCAGTTACTGCAGTTGTTTTGGATGATTGCTGGATGATCAATGTAGACTATTACAGCAAAAGATGCTGATCAGGACTTCTTGGAAAGAACAAATATATCTTGTCTTTTGTTCTTAGAATAGAAATAGGTAAGAAATATACTATCGAGGGGTGAGAAAAAATAAGAAACAAGAAACTATATTTTCTGTCTCCTTATTTTTGTTTGTTTCGGTTTTTTCAATGAGAGTGAATTGTATTTTCCCCAGAGCTTAAATGTTAGACAGAATAAGCCATTTGGAATGTTTCTTAGCTACATTTTATAATTAAAATCCAACCAATCAGAAGCCTTATTGATTAGGCTTTAAAGCAGGGGTGTCAAACTTGTGGCGTCACAACGGCGTCACGTGATGTATCAGGACTTTCCACCCCCTTTGCTAAACTGGGCAGGGGCAGGACCAGCATGTGACACATCCAGCCTGTGGGCCGCGAGTTTGACACCCCTGCTTTAAAGCCTTGAAGTATTGGCTTTCACTTACAAGACAAGCCCTCCAGTGACAGTGTTGACTTTTCATATCTCATTTCTTTAAGAAACTAAAATAGTAAAGCTACCACAAAATACTTTTTAGAGATGTAATTAAAAAAATAAAAGATTGATTGGAAAATATGTCTGGAACTCTAACTGTGCTGAGTGAATGACTGTAGAGCAAGATGGCTACTTGGCTGGTATAGACAGATGGTGAACTGGAGAGGGTTGAATTCTGGCAGCACAAGGAGAACTTGACAGAATTAGATAAACTCCACGTAGTTAGCTGGATAAAGACCAAGTTGCCCGTTGTCCAGACGTCCTTTGCACCACCCTTGTTCGTCTTCTTCACCTAATTTGGTTAATTCATCACCTAGGAAAATAATGATAAATTACAAATTGGGAGCACACTATCAAACTGATACCCCCTCTCTAACTGATTTCATCCTATCTCCCAACAGAGTTTCCCTATACTGTTCTGTTGTGTATTTGATGTTGAGTCACATATACGTAAAACCTATGTGGGAAAAAACAAGAGGGTGTGTGATTTTGTATCAGAAAATGATCAGTGGGAAAAGAATATAGTGTACCTTCATACTGTGACTTCAAAAGACTTTTATAAAAACAAAATATAAAGTTTTCTTAGGGCTGCAAAGTGCTCTGGATTATACTGCTGCATTTTGTTTTGTTTTTTTTTAAACAAGTTTTATTGGTCCCCTCCCCCCCCCCACATTCACCCACATCTTTTTTGAACAGAGAATTGACCATATCTTATCTTATACAATGAATCAAATACATTTTACTCAATTACAGTTTTTGCCAAAATCTCCTCCCCCCTTTTTTATCATGTCTCAATATTTCTATGCTTACTTACATAAACAACATCTTCATTTGCCCTTAAATTCTAATTATTGCTATTTATTCATATTTGTTCTTTTTTATTCTTTAAACAATTCATTCTTTATCTTAATATCTTTATATTTGTTCGGGGTTGCCTTTCTTTCATTTCATCTTTTTTATTGTACAGCAATCTTTCTCCTCATCCCTACCACCTCTCTCTTTTCTTTCCTTCTTACTTTCTCTTCCCCTCCTCTTCTGCTGCTGCATTTTGCAGAGGTCAGATGATCCCCCCAAATGACATGGCTATTTCAAAAAGTTGCAAATGCATACCTGCTTTGAAACTCAGCTCATCCTGCTCTTGTCCATCATAATCATACAGAGCTCGTACACGGACACTTTTCCCAGTTGTTTCTTCTTCAAAGGAATTGGCACCGCCATTGGCTTCATTGGAGCTGTAAGTGTTGCCACCCTCATCATCTGACCACTCTGTGGTGTAGGCTTGGCCACGTTCATAACTGCTGACACTGGTAATGGAACAGAGCATCATAAGAAATGATATTACTGCATAAATATCTGATACATCTAACTCTGTGGGACAACTGGAGATAGTGAGACCATGGTGCATGATACCCAAGACTATTCTAAACATTCTACTGTGTTTCCCTGAAAATAAGACCCTGGCTAATTTTTTTTGAATCCCAAAATAAGCACTCAGCCTTATTTTTGGGGAGGTCTTATTATTTTGGGGCATGTGGAGCAAGACGGGGCTCCTCTTGCTGTCTTACCTGATTTCCAGCTCTCTCTCCCTAACCCTAACCTAACAGAGGAAATGGCAGTGACCGGCTGCCCACACGTTTTAATATTTTCGGGGAGGGCTTTTTTGGGGGGGGTGTTATTTTAGTGCATGCATTCAAAAGCCCGATTTGGCTTATTATCCAGGGAGGTCTTATTTTGCGGGAAACAGGATATTTTGACAGGCTCATACTGGAAACATCTCATACGTTTACCTGCCACGATCTCCTCCCTGTGCTGTTGCTTCCCCACCTCCACTGGCATTGGGTGTGTTACCTCCCTCATTCTTTTTTGGTTTCTCTCTTCGGTTTATTGTTTGTGTTGCATCTGGATTCCATTCCTGCAGATGAAAAAAAAAACCTAATCTCAAAGCCTCTGTTTCCAATGCTTCAACTGTACCATGACTCAGCTCCAGTCTTAAGAACACAATAAAGACATTCTACTTCTTGCAGTGGTTTACCATGTGGTTCTGGTAAAACCAAAAGTAGGACATAGAAGCTATTCTGAAGTCTCTTCAGTGTTCAGAGAGGCACAATTCCATTGCAGGGAGCAGCATCAGGAGAGGCTAAGGTCTTTATGTCCTAGTTTTTCTAGGCACATGGACCATGGCTCCCTCAACCTATGAAGCTCCATATAGCCATCATGATTAATAGCCATGGATCTATAACCTACAGCTTGGCAGTGCAGCCATCCTTGGAGGCATCATCCTGCAACAGCTTCTTACTTCTAATTGAGGCCAGTTCATAGGCATCCCGGGGCCACAGGTGTTGCGGAACCACCGAAGGTCTTCTTGTGCATCGGCCATACGAATGGTCTGCTCCAGCTCACGGTAGACTTTAGAATAGCTGCATATTACAAATAGATAAAGTAATAAATACAGGATTGAAGTAAGAAACCATCATTCGACACATTAGACAAAGAAGCTTGAGGGCAGAGCAAGTAGACAACCTTTAAATGAGAATATTATGGCATAATCACCTTGCCATATTCATAGGATTTTAGTGAATTATATTTTTATTTTTTGCCATTCATTCTACCACATTTAAATCCCATTTACTTTCTATGAACAAATTTTATATGGGTTCCAGAAGATATCACCCTTCTATCTTCTTCCATTATTTCTCCCAGCACTTTTTTCCAAGAGAAATGAGGAAAGGGCAGAAAATGTTGATGGTTCTGCAAATGGTTTGGCATGGAAAAAGTTCTACTTAAGATTAGAAAATATTTCTGGAATATTTAAAAGCTTTATCCCGCACGGCAGACAATAACGAGATTGTGAGACAAATAGTCTGTATGTATCTAATTTATGACAGTACCCCTTACATTTTGTTTGATTCCAGAGTGTATCACAAAAGCATCTCAGATGATAGAAGACAGAGTCCAAAAATATCTGTAGAATCTTCATTAAAAAAAAGGAAAACTGATCACTCAACTTGTTCTAATAAAGCTCAAGGGGGTGCTAGCAACACACTGAATGTGCCCAACATTGCAGTTTCTTATTTTAAAGATGCTTCGAGACCAGACTTTGAATGGGAATAACTTTGTTTCATTCATGAAGTTTTACAGAGCTGCTAACAAAATCAACTTCCACTTCTGTGGCTCCCATATTTTATTATGGGAGACTATTATTCCCTTCCACCTCACATAGACATTAGATTATAGAGAAGATGGAGTAACTGTTCAAAGCTGGCTTGGTTGTATCAGCCACAATCCAAACAAAAGTAGTTCAGGAAAAGACCTTTGTTAAAAGTCCCTGAATTAGATGACTCAGTTTCTTCCCGAATGGGGTGGGTGGGATTTTGATTAGGAAAAAAGGTTTGGAGTGGGGTGTTGCAAAATTCAGCAAAACTGCATTCAGTAAAGAATGAATAGCTGGTGAGCAGACCAGCTCTTTAAACGTCTCCAGAAAAGGAAAGGATTTGAGATCACCCACAAATATTCCAGACGGTTGCTCCTCAGGAGGAGACCGTAAAATAGTGGTGGTGTCTGATAGGTGTAGAGGTCGGGGAATATCCATCAGCTCTTAAGTCATTTTCCATGAAGTGAGCAGCCACGTAAATTTGATTAATAAATAAACCTTGCTCAAAACTTGCTCATAGTTGGCATCTTTAAAAGGATACTAATTTAGCACACTTCCTTTTCTAAACACTTACAAAAATTGCTTGTTAACTACTTTTCAGCTATT